TATATGGGTCTCTTTGTGAATCTATGCTTCTCTGTATGGTTCTATGGTTCCATGTGTGAGTCTGGTGGTCTATATACGAGACTATGTGAGTTTATGTGTCTCCGTGTGAGTCTATGGTTATCTGTGTTTTTGGGTCTATGAGCAAGACTATGGGCATGCGTGTAAGGCCATTGTTCTCTGTGTGAGTATATGGGTCTCTCTGTGAGTACATGATTCTCTGCGTGAGCCTATGTGTCTCTGTATGAGTCTATAGGTCTCTGTGTGAGTCTATGGAACTCTGTACTAGTCAAATGAAGGGGATTAATGGGAGGGGAGAAAATGGGAGGAGGCCTTTGTCCAGCTGTGGGAAGTTCCAGGCAGACTACAACAACAACAACGTGGTTGTTATCGTCATGAGCCACGCTATTTATATCTCTGAGCAAGGATGGATGATCGTACACGTGTTATCCACAAGGGGGAGCAACACGCCCTCTTCCTTGCGAGAGACAATGATTCCCCGTGCTGTTAGCGAGCACCTATGAAGGTGCCGGAACGCCACACGAGGGTTTGGGTGGCCAGCACCACGCCCGGCCGCCTTTGTCTCCCGAGTGGCGATGTTTACACACCGTGCCAGGTATCAATTTGAGGCTAAGTCGACCTGGGAGAGGCCAGGGTCCGGTTCAGCTATTCGTCACCGGTGTTGGCCGTGAGCGGGATTCGGACTCGGGTGCCGGGTTCGTAGCGCAACGCGCCAACCGCTGCGCCACCGCTCCCCGGCCCTTGATCGCCAACACACTCCAATTCCCATCACTCCGCTTAAGCATCCATTCTCAGTCAGTCCGTTCTCACTCACGCAGAAACTCGCTTCCTCTCACTCACCCACCAATTACTCCCCACGGCGGCGTGGGGGCGTACGTAGAGGTGACCGTTGCGAACGAGATGGGATTATCCAGGTAAAACATTTGAACCAAAAAATTAAAGAAACACCACTCGCTTCACATCACTCACCACTCACGCCTGTCAGTTACCCACCACTCGATTCCCCCATCACTCTCCATCCCTCACCACTCACTCCTCACCCCCCCGCACCCTCCCAGAATCCCCATCACTCTTTGGTGCCTTATTTTGACAGTACGAGTCTTGGTGACAAAAAGTAACTTTAGTCCAAACTGAACATCTGTTATAAAAATTGCTTTATAGCTCATCGGATTGCTCCAGTTATAAATAAAGATTCTGTTCACGCTGTCTATGCACTGCCCCAGTCCCTATCTCCATGTCTCCGTCTAAATCTGCACGTCTCCCCTGTCCCCGCCCCTCTCCCCCTGTCCCCGCCCCTCTCCCCCCTGTCCCCGCCCCTCTCCCCCCTGTCCCCGCCCCTCTCCCCCCTGTCCCCGCCCCTCTCCCCTCTGTCCCCGCCCCTCTCCCCCCTGTCCCCGCCCCTCTCCCCCCTGTCCCCGCCCCTCTCCCCCCTGTCCCCGCCCCTCTCCCCTCTGTCCCCGCCCCTCTCCCCTCTGTCCCCGCCCCTCTCCCCCTGTCCCCGCCCCTCTCCCCCCTGTCCCCGCCCCTCTCCCCCCTGTCCCCGCCCCTCTCCCCCCTGTCCCCGCCCCTCTCCCCCCTGTCCCGCCCCTCTCCCCCCTGTCCCCGCCCCTCTCCCCCCTGTCCCCGCCCCTCTCCCCCCTGTCCCCGCCTCTCTCCCCGCTGTCCCCGCCCCTCTCCCCCCTGTCCCCGCCCCTCTCCCCGCTGTCCCCGCCCCTCTCCCCCCTGTCCCCGCCCCTCTCCCCCCTGTCCCCGCCCCTCTCCTCTCTGTCCCCGCCCCTCTCCCCTCTGTCCCCGCCCCTCTCCCCTCTGTCCCCGCCCCTCTCCCCCTGTCCCCGCTGTCCCCGCCCCTCTCCCCTCTGTCCCCGCCCCTCTCCCCCCTGTCCCCGCCCCTCTCCCCGCTGTCCCCGCCCCTCTCCCCCCTGTCCCCGCCCCTCTCCCCTGTCCCCGCCCCTCTCCCCCCTGTCCCCCGCCCCTCTCCCCCCTGTCCCCGCCCCTCTCCCCGCTGTCCCCGCCCCTCTCCCCTCTGTCCCCGCCCCTCTCCCCCCTGTCCCCGCCCCTCTCCCCCCTGTCCCCGCCCCTCTCCCCCCCTGTCCCCGCCCCTCTCCCCCCTGTCCCCGCCTCTCTCCCCGCTGTCCCCGCCCCTCTCCCCCCTGTCCCCGCCCCTCTCCCCGCTGTCCCCGCCCCTCTCCCCCCTGTCCCCGCCCCTCTCCCCCCTGTCCCCCGCCCCTCTCCTCTCTGTCCCCGCCCCTCTCCCCTCTGTCCCCGCCCCTCTCCCCCCTGTCCCCGCTGTCCCCGCCCCTCTCCCCTCTGTCCCCGCCCCTCTCCCCCCTGTCCCCGCCCCTCTCCGTCTGTCCCCGCCCCTCTCCCCTCTGTCCCCGCCCCTCTCCCCTCTGTCCCCGCCCCTCTCCCCTCTGTCCCCGCCCCTCTCCCCCTGTCCCCGCTGTCCCCGCCCCTCTCCCCCCTGTCCCCGCCCCTATCCCCCCTGTCCCCGCCCCTCTCCCCCCTGTCCCCGCCCCTCTCCCCTCTGTCCCCGCCCCTCTCCCCCCTGTCCCCGCCCCTCTCCCCTCTGTCCCCGCCCCTCTCCCCATTGTCCCCGCCCCTCTCCCCTCTGTCCCCGCCCCTCTCCCCTCTGTCCCCTCTGTCCCCGCCCCTCTCCCCCCTGTCCCCGCCCCTCTCCCCTCTGTCCCCGCCCCTCTCCCCTCTGTCCCCTCTGTCCCCTCTGTCCCCGCCCCTCTCCCCTCTGTCCCCGCCCCTCTCCCCTCTGTCCCCTCTGTCCCCGCCCCTCTCCCCTCTGTCCCCGCCCCTCTCCCCTCTGTCCCCGCCCCTCTCCCCCCTGTCCCCGCCCCTCTCCCCTCTGTCCCCGCCCCTCTCCCCTCTGTCCCCGCCCCTCTCCCCTCTGTCCCCTCTGTCCCCGCCCCTCTCCCCCCTGTCCCCGCCCCTCTCCCCTCTGTCCCCGCCCCTCTCCCCTCTGTCCCCTCTGTCCCCTCTGTCCCCGCCCCTCGCCCCTCTGTCCCCGCCCCTCTCCCCTCTGTCCCCGCCCCTCTCCCCTCTGTCCCCTCTGTCCCCGCCCCTCTCCCCTCTGTCCCCCGCCCCTCTCCCCCCTGTCCCCGCCCCTCTCCCCCCTGTCCCCGCCCCTCTCCCCCCTGTCCCCGCCCCTCTCCCCCCCTGTCCCCGCCCCTCTCTCCCCTGTCCCCGCCCCTCTCCCCCCTGTCCCCGCCCCTCTCCCCCCTGTCCCCGCCCCTCTCCCCCCTGTCCCCGCCCCTCTCCCCCCTGTCCCCGCCCCTCTCCCCCCCTGTCCCCGCCCCTCTCCCCCCTGTCCCCGCCCCTCTCCCCCCTGTCCCCGCCCCTCTCCCCGCTGTCCCCGCCCCTCTCCCCCCCTGTCCCCGCCCATCTCCCCCCTGTCCCCGCCCCTCTCCCCTCTGTCCCCGCCCCTCTCCCCGCTGTCCCCGCCCCTCTCCCCCCTGTCCCCGCCCCTCTCCCCCTCTGTCCCCGCCCCTCTCCCCGCTGTCCCCGCCCCTCTCCCCCCTGTCCCCGCCCCTCTCCCCCTGTCCCCGCCCCTCTCCCCCCTGTCCCCGCCCCTCTCCCCTCTGTCCCCGCCCCTCTCCCCTCTGTCCCCGCCCCTCTCCCCCCTGTCCCCGCCCCTCTCCCCCCTGTCCCCGCCCCTCTCACCCTCTGTCCCCGCCCCTCTGCCCTCTGTCCCCGCCCCTCTCCCCTCGTCCCCGCCCCTCTCCCCTCTGTCCCCGCCCCTCTCCCCTCTGTCCCCGCCCTCTCTCTCCCCTGTCCCCCGCCCTCTCCCCCCTGTCCCCGCCCCTCTCCCCCCTGTCCCCGCCCCTCTCCCCCCCTGTCCCCGCCCCTCTCCGCCCTGTCCCCGCCCCTCTCCCCGCTGTCCCCGCCCCTCCCCCCCCTTCCCCGCCCCTCTCCCCCCTGTCCCCGCCCCTCTCCCCCCTGTCCCGCCCCTCTCCCCTCGTCCCCGCCCCTCTCCCCTCTGTCCCCGCCCCTCTCCCCCCTGTCCCCGCCCTCTCCCCTCTGTCCCCCGCCCCTCTCCCCCCTGTCCCCGCCCCTCTCCCCTCTGTCCCCGCCCCTCTCCCCCGTCCCCGCCCCTCTCCCCCCTGTCCCCGCCCCTCTCCCCTCTGTCCCCGCCCCTCTCCCCTCTGTCCCCGCCCCTCTCCCCTCTGTCCCCGCCCCTCTCCCCTCTGTCCCCGCCCCTCTCCCCCCCTGTCCCCCGCCCCTCTCCCCCTGTCCCCCCCCTCTCCCCCTCTGTCCCCCGCCCCTCTCCCCCCTGTCCCCCGCCCCTCTCCCCTCTGTCCCCGCCCCTCTCCCCCCTTCCCCGCCCCTCTCCCCTCTGTCCCGCCCCTCTCCCCCCTGTCCCCGCCCCTCTCCCCTCTGTCCCCGCCCCTCTCCCCCTGTCCCCGCCCCTCTCCCCTCTGTCCCCCGCCCCTCTCCCCCCTGTCCCCGCCCCTCTCCCCTCTGTCCCCGCCCCTCTCCCCCCTGTCCCCGCCCCTCTCCCCTCTGTCCCCGCCCTCTCCCCCTGTCCCCGCCCCTCTCCCCTCTGTCCCCGCCCCTCTCCCCTCTGTCCCCGCCCCTCTCCCCTCTGTCCCCGCCCCTCTCCCCCCTGTCCCCGCCCCTCTCCCCTCTGTCCCCGCCCCTCTCCCCTCTGTCCCCGCCCCTCTCCCCCCTGTCCCCGCCCCTCTCCCCTCTGTCCCCGCCCCTCTCCCCTCTGTCCCCGCCCCTCTCCCCTCTGTCCCCGCCCCTCTCCCCCCTGTCCCCGCCCCTCTCCCCTCTGTCCCCGCCCCTCTCCCCTCTGTCCCCGCCCCTCTCCCCCCTGTCCCCGCCCCTCTCCCCTCTGTCCCCGCCCCTCTCCCCCCTGTCCCCGCCCCTCTCCCCCCTGTCCCCGCCCCTCTCCCCTCTGTCCCCGCCCCTCTCCCCCCTGTCCCCGCCCAGCCTCCGTCACTCTGAGTTTGAATTTCGCTGCCCAATGGGCCGCGTGCGTTTGGCCGCCGCCCGCGACAGAGGAACTGTGAGCGGGGACGCGGCGGAGACGACGAGACGCAGCTGAGTGGGGACAGCGGGGGACAGGGAGACAGGGCCCCCCTCACACACGGAGACAGGGGGACAGGGCCCCCCTCACACAGGGAGACCAGGAGACGCAGCCCCCCACCTCCCGGCTATGCTGGACCGCAACGTCGGCGCGGCCGCGCGGCTGCAGCTGCGGAGCCTCGGGGTGCGCGTGGAGGCGGCGGCGGGCAGGAGGCCCAAGGGCCCAGCCCGGGCTCGCTCGGGGAAGGTGAGTGCGGACAGGTGACGAGGTGGTGAGGAGGTGGGAGAGATGATGAGGTGGTGGTGGAGGAGGTGGTGGTGGAGGTCGTGAGGTGGTGGTGGAGGTGGTGGTGGTGGAGATGATGAGTTGGTGGTAGAGGTGATTAGGTGGTGGTGGAGGTGGTGGTGGAGGTGGGAGAGTTGAGTTGGTGGTAGAGGTGAGGGGCGGTGTGAGATTTGAGGATGTTGGTGCGGGTTGTGAGGAGGTTGTTGGAGAGACATGGCGGTGATGGTGGAGGAGTTGGTGGGAATGAGGAGGATGTGATGAGGTAAGGGAGTGATGGAGCGCGTGTTGGAGGTTTATGGTCGAGATGGTGACGTGACATGGGAGCGGTGGTGTGAGTGCTGTTGCTGAAGGGCAGGGTGACTACCTATCATCAAGAAGTTGCCCTTCAGCAACTTCTTGATGATAGGTAACGACGAACCCTGTGGCACGCTCAGTGAAATAAGACCTGTCACAACGACTCTCTCGTAACGTCACAACTCAACACTTTTCGTCCTGACAAAAACACTGTGGCCTTGAAGGGAAACGTGTTTCATAGGCGACGTTTCGGACAATGGGCCCCTTCTTCAGATCACATTGTGTGCACAGAGCACGTTTTGTGCAAATTGTGTGCTCTGAAGGAGGCCCATTGTCCAGAACGTCACATTGTGTGCTCTGAAGGAGGGCCATTGTCAGAAACTTCGCGTATTCAATACGTTTCCTTTTAAGGCCACGGTGTTATTGACGAATGTGTCGAGTTTGTCGCGTTACACAGGTTATTATTATTATTATGAGTTGTTGTTGTGACAGGTTGAATGCTGTGCTTGTGCACTCCTGCCAATGTGGCAAAGCAGCCGTCAGCAAATAGACTGTCTGACCTGTTATATAAGTTCACAGGTCTGGGCAGACCCACACGGCATGCTTATTCTCGACTCGGTACCTGTAACACATTCTCCACTGTGCTTTCACCTCCTCCAACCCGCCTGGTCAGTGTGAACTAACAGGCCAAAATGCCCTCTAAATCAGTGGTTCTTAAGCTTTGCTGCAGCCTTGCACTCGTTTGGCTCTCAATCATTAAACATTTTTATAATGGTAATAAATACATAGGGATTTATGAAACAAAGTAAATTGTGCTTACATGCCCCGTGCTTACTTTGTGGTTAGATGATTTACCTTTTTTAAAAATCTTGCCATGTCTCGCAGCCCCAGATCGGGCATCTCGCACCCCAGGGCAGGGGGTGCAGCGTGCACCGCAGGTTATGGACCACTGCTCGAGATGGACCCCTTTCGAGGGAAGACGCATCTGTCAGCAGTGACGTGAGCCAGAAACAGCAGGGCTGCACCTAGACATTTAGCTTCAGTCTCAACAAGCCCCTAACAACAGTCTAATAGAATGGCAGAAAATATCATTACAACTTCAGCCACTTACCACTGTACTGAGAAATACGGTATGTTAAGGGAGAGTCATTGGCAAGCAATGGATTGGTAGTGTTGGTGTGCGAAGCCCTGGGCCAGTTGGTCTACAAGTACTAATGTTTATTTTTTATATTTTCGTTGTAGAAGAAAGAAGATTATTCTCACGGGGGCTCACCATCCAGTACCGAATCGCTGGTCCCAAGGTACGATCAAGACAGCATTTTTTTTTTTGCTTAAGAGCAGTAGTCGTAATAATTATACGGATAACTTCTAGAGAGCAAACGGTGCAATAGTAACCACTGGAACAGTCCTCCCAGCATGCGCTACGTGTATAATTAGCAAAGGCTTGTTTTAAACCACCGACTTAAGTCAAATTGAACACGCAATTTTGTTACATCACGTGATACGCGATGCATGATAGTAGGACGCATCCGTTGGTCACAATGGCAACGCCTCTAATCTAGCACTGTCACAGCGAAGGTTGGTGATTCACAAATGTTGTGAAAGTCTCTGCCTGTGGGTGTCAAAAAGGTGCCATACCCTGGCCCGCCAGGACAAGGCAGTACAGCAAGTGGACTAATCTTCATCTCTTTCCATCTGTCGGGGATAAGGTGTTACCTCCACGCGTGAATGTGTTTTCTCTGGGTGCTCCGGTTTCCTCTCGTGTATAAACACTCATAAATTGGCTGAAAACATCTTAATATAAAAATATCAAATCTAGCAGGACATTATTTTCAAAAAAGTCCTTGGACTCGGTGTGACATTTCTGAATATATAAATCACTACTCTTATTTTTCACGTCTCCACATACTTTTATGTCTGATACTTTCTCATAATTTACAGAAAGCTTATAATTGGATTAATCAATATACGTCAGATCAGCAGACTAAACGTTATATGAGCAAATTACTTGGAAAAGGCCCAATCTCGTCAGACCTCGAAGCTAAGTAAGGTTGAGCCTGAATAGTGCTTGGATGGGTGACATGAAACAGGTATCAGTGAGCCACATTATCAGCAGAAGACAGTGCGGCAAAATACGTAATTGTGCTGTACTGTGCTCCGAAGTCTACTCCCCGCCTTCACTGACCTACGTGGACCGGCGTGGTGAAGTAGAGGCAATCCCACAACCTGCACGGAGCGACTAGGCCCTCATCCTGCAGTAGATCGACAACGGGGCAGCTACGTACACTAATGAGTTCCTAACTCTGATCGTCATTTTTTTTTATGTTACAAGGTTTGTCCTGGAAGCCTGTCGCTATCTCCAAGACCACTTGGACACAGAGGGCATCTTCCGGAAGCCGGGATCATTGTCCAGGATGCGAGAGCTCAAGGTCCTTCAACCGTGCTCGTGCGGAGGCAAACACAGGCCTGCGGTCGGGCGTGTTTAGGGCAGGGCGGGGGGGGCAATGTCTGGGGGACGTTTATGGCACGTGCCGATCGCTGCAGTGTGCGTGCGTCGACTTGTACACCCATGCAGACGTGTATGAGTTAAGTTGACTCGAGTAAGCTGCGTGGCACAGAGGGAAATACTATAGTGGGCAAATGGATGAGAGGGAAAAACTTGTGTAAATGTGCTTGCGTGTGTTTGTAGGGAGTGGTGGAGCCATTGTTTAGAGTACTGTGCTTTGAACCCGTTGACCTGAGTTTGATTCCCAGCCACGATGGACATGAATTGAAATGATGTCAGAACCTGTCCCTGGGCAGCCCCCAAGGTCGACTTGCCCTTTACACGTGAATCTGGTGTGACGTGTTGACCTCAGTATTGGGGAGAAAGACGGCGAATTAGCTTTGTGTTAGCTGCACCACCCCTCTGTTCACTGTTTCAGCCTTAATGGGTGTTCTCTAACAGTACTTGCTCAAACAGTATAACCGTGTAAATTTCGATTTAAAGCTTTCGTGACTGCAGGGATTCATCTTGGTTCTTTCGGTAAGGTCACTTAGAAGGGAAATAATAAAATAATAAAAATAAAACATAATAAAATACAATTCTCACGACGTTTCGGCTACAACGCAAGCAGCCGTCCTCAGGTGAAGAACAGGGCTGTCAGACGCTGTGTTTCCGACAGCCCTGTTCTTCACCTGAGGACGGCTGCTTGCGTTGTGGCCGAAACGTCGTGAGAATTGTATTTTATTATGTTTTATTATTTTATTATTTCCCTTCTGCGTGACCTTACCGAAAGAACCAAGAAGAAATATAACTATTTATTTTGTTGTGTGCTCAGATAAACAGTCGTTCGTGCACTGAACTTTGGTCCCTGGTTTCAAGTACCAGCCATCGATGTTATTTATAAGTGACTAGCTTGACTACCCGGCTTCGCCCAGGACTTGGAGTCTTGTCTTGGATTAATACACGGCCTACGTGGAGGGTTGGTGGGGGGATGCGTGACGTCAGCAGGCACACTGTAACGCTGCCGCATGCGGGTGACATCACAGATGTGACGTCACCGCTCACTTGCCGTGCAAAATATATCCTTTATTGTGCCCCCCTCCCCAAATACAAAAGTCAATTTTGATACTTTTTGCATTGTACACAGTCTGGAAGCTACCCACATGCCAAATTTCAAGTTTGTTGCATGTTGGGAAGTATGCTAAACATTTTGGACAGACACACATATTCACAAATTTCCCTTTAATGTATATAGATTTATGAATCGGTCCTCATCCGTAATTGTGAAATGAGTACCCGGTGCATTGCGTTACCATCAGCCCTGGAGAAACAAAGGTGGCCATGGTGCTGGCCACAAAACCCTTGACATTGTTATCTTTCAAGCCATGATAGCACTCGAACAAGTATTAAGTGATATCACATTTGCGAACTTTACATCAATTCCACTGCAGTGGCGTCACATTCGTAACATTTTTCGTGTGCTGGGGAGAGACAGGGAGATTCCCAATTTGACCCGCACCGAAAAAAGAAACAATGCACTCGCCCTTGTAGCGGGCGCCCGCTGGCTAAACAGCCCTTGCTTCTCCGATCACGGTCGCTCAACAAGTTGCCCGCGTGTCTCTGCGCGGCTAACCGCAGGCCCGGCTGGAGCGCGGCGAGGCCTGCCTGGCGGGCGCGACGGTGAACGACGTCGCCGGGCTGCTCAAACAGCACCTGCGTGAAGCGGCCGAGCCGCTGGTGCCGCGCGAGCTGCACTCACCGCTGCGCCGAGCGCAGCAACTGGCGACGGCGGAGGAGCGCACGAGGGCAACGCTGCTGCTGTGCCTGCTCATGCCCCCCGCCACCGCCCACGCCCTGCGCTTCATCATGACCTTCCTGCACGCCGTGGCCGAGAGGTGAGGCGGCGACTGTAGCCGTTCGCTTTACCGTGAGCGGCCCGAACGGTCCGTGGGAAATTTTTATCGATGGCCGTGGTCTCCGGATTATTAGATGCTTTAGAAAGCAAGACGCCATCAATTTTTGCTTTAAAATACAGAGGGGGGGCGGGGGGGTAAATGTGTGTTAAATTCCAGAGGGTACGCTAATTGTCCTTCAAGGCCCAAACGGGTAACGCTCGGGGATTTGGTCTAGGACAGTAATGGGGGCCTTTGCCTTGCCGGAGGCCGAATAGGACTTTGAAATAACCTTTGGCAGGGAGGCCACACATCACCGCAAGAGGTCCTTCCCTTTCGTTAATTAAAAGAAATCTGTCTTGCGCTCAGAGCGGAGGATAACAAGATGACGGCGACGAACCTGGCGGTGGTGTTCACCCCGACGCTGATGCACGGCGGGCGTGGGGCCAGCCTCACGCCGGGCACACAACAGCTGCTCCAGCTGCAGGTGCTCACCGTGGAGACGCTCATCACCAATGCTCCTCGCATCGGTACGAAGCCCCCCAAGACCCACGGCAGCGACTGGTGACACGGGGGGAAGGGGGGGGTGGGCACTGCTACATTCCCGTCACTTGCGTGACTCATTTTTGCTCTTCCTTGGTGGCTCGCAACTTTCAGTGATGGTTTTATTAACGATTTCCAGCTCAGGTTGAAAGCGCTTATGCATTAGCTCTGGCTGTCCAGCCATCTGTAAACTGGGAGGGGCAGGATGACTCTCGTAAAGATGATCCAATGTGAACGGAACTTTCGTGTAAAGTCGTGTAGCTATGAGGGATTTAGCCTATTAAATATAATAGTTAGCCAAAAAAGTTGAGACCACAAACAGAAGGGGAAAAAACCTCGCCGAACGTGGTTTTATCTAACGCATGTTTCGGCTTGCACAGTGTTACTTAACGAGGTCTGTTTTGCGGAATAATGGCGGTGAGGTTTCAACTATACGGATTTTGACGTTGCTAAGATTTTTCGATTTAAAGCTTTCGTGACTGTACCAAAAGAACCAAGAATATGTTGCTAGGATTGTTAGGAAGATATTTGTTAGATTGGCCTGCGAGAGGTGAGAGTGCTGCATCCGTCGGAAGGTACTAAGGTGTGACTGAATTGACTGTGAGAACGATTTATTTACTGTTTAAGTTTCTTTGCATTTGTTTTTTTCGTGCGATAATGTAACAAATACTCTACACGCGCAACGCAAACATTCACACACATTGCCGCAAGCATCTCGCCATCCACTCATTGAATACGTTGGTTTTATGGACTCCTACGTGTGTGAATCCTTAACGTTCCAGTGACAGTGTTAGGGGCAGGCATCGGGCTGGAAATTCAGTGTCGGGGGCGAGTGTTGGGCATATGCCGCAGTGTGGGAAGAGTAATTCAGACAGGGGTTTTGTGTTCAGGTCACATTGAAAGAGTGTACACACAAGGTGTAGAGAGAGACTGGACATTGTTAATTACAACAAGGGCGGGAATCTTGTCGAATTAGCTAAACAAAGAGGGAGGGGGTGATCATTTAGGACCAAGGAACGCTTAGCTATTTTTCCCATGTGGCTTATTATTTGTCGAACGCAGTTTTGCACAACAAGGCAATTTAGAGGTACGTAACCCCTGCGTCCGGCGAGGTTTTCCTGTATTTTCCAATATTGCAAACGCATGTTGTCTTGGAAGCAACCCGTTTGGAAATATGCTTATGATAATTGCCCTGACAGCTACCCATCAGTTTGTGTTCTGCCTATTAATACTTTAGAGGACGACACACATGGGGAAAGCGTGTTACATTGATGCAAGCGTTTGCACGAATTTATGAATTTGCTGTGGATTTTCGCTGCGTTCCGTTTTTGGTGTGACCTACTGGATAGTGCGAAATGGCTTCAGACACTGCAACTTCAAATTGTGAAAGTAATCTGATGATCTAGTATTAAGAACACAGTGTGATACCACTTCTGGCGATTGACCCCTCCAGGCCAGTGGCCGGATGAAGAGGAGGTGGAAGAAGATAACGATGATGCTGCAGGGGCAGCCTTTGGCAGGAAGGGCAGCGAGGACCAGTCGCCATCCACTGGCGGGCGTGGAGACCAGCGCTCGCTCAAGTTGAACCGTCGCCGCAGCTTCAACGGTAACAGCACCTCCCCTGTATAATAGCCTTAACAGACTGTAGGAGCAAGTGCTGTTAGCGAGCACCTATGAAGGCCGGAACGGCACACGAGGGCGTGCGTGGCCAGCACAACGCTGGCCACTCCCTAGTGGCGATGTTTACACACCATACCAGGTACTCGTTTGAGGCTGAGTCAACCTAGGAGATGCCTATTACCGGTTCAGATAATCGTCACTGGTGTTGTCCGTGAGCGGGAATCGAACTCGGGTCGCCGGGTTCGAATCGCAGCGCGCTAACCACTGCGCTACCGCTCCCCACACACACCGTGAACCCCACATGCACAAACGCACACACGAGTGTGTTCTCATCACCCTCGTCTCTTGGAACCTCAAAGCCGGAAATGTAAAACCAGAGCTGTCACATCTACGTTGGTGAATGTTATTTTTGTTTACGAATTTGATTTGTCCTCCGTGTCCAATCATATCCTGATTGTGCTTTTGGAATCGTGCCATGATGAATGATCCATTTTGGTCTCGGAGAAGTGTAACCCTTCTTGTTAAGCATATGGCCCACGAAAGCAGATACCAAAGAGCTACCTCTGAGATCCTTTAAAGTGACTTCTGGTTTACATATTAAGCGCGACACTTTTCAGAATCTGAATATTTATTTATACTGGACATACTGATAAGCATAACTGTCATGATATTTGAAAGTCAAACCGATATGTTTATTTCCCCAGGGCTGGAATTCTGCCAAATCAACTGCAAAAATAAATTTAACGTGATGTGTTTTTTTTTTGTGTACGGTCCATTGGTAACTGTCCAGAGACCATCGCCTTGCCACACTCCAAAAGCCCAGGCTTAATCACAGACGGCTGCCTGTGATTTGGACTCGGGATCCCAGCAGTGGCAGCTCATCGCTGTGACCTCTTGATCCATGCGGCCACCTCTCAGATTGCGAACGTTGAAATCGGTGTTGTGTGCCGCGTTGCCGTGTCTCGGATTTCTCATTTAGACGTCGTCTACGGAGCTTTGAATCGTCTGAAAATCAGCAAGACGCCTGTAGGCACACCTAAGGGAGAAGGTACGGATTCAGAGGCCGCTCTTTTTCCGCGCACACAAGTGAAACACGCGTGTCGCATTTTTGTCACATATGAGTTGGTAGTTTGGCAAAGACATTTTTCAATAGTGTCCATTCACCCGGCAAGCACTGGGTTAACTCCACAGAACGCCGATGTAGGTTTGAGTTGTCACTTGGACTATGGGGCTGTGATTGACGTGTGATTGCTTGAAGAGAGGATGCCAAAAGACATCTGTAGAAATGTCACTTGCAGTCATCGTAACCCTAGCTGCAACAACCTCTCTCTTGAACCAGAGAAAAAAAAACCCAGCTGAGCTTACCCTTCAAACCTGACAAAATAAGAAGACTAAGCCGCAAGTGGATGCCTGTCTACGATGGAAAATGTTCAAGTCCCGAAGCCGGAAGCCTCACAGCAACGATAAACACACTCAGAAAGTAGGCAGAGGCCAGTTTGTGCCACGGGATATGTACACCGTGGCCGTATCGGTGATGGGATACAATCGCACATCCACTATCGTCCCATCACCCCCCCCCCACCGTGCGTCGCTACAGATCGCGTGGGTCCGCAGACGCCTCTCACGGGGAGACAGAAGCGGAAATCCTCCGATGTCAGCCCGAATCACGGCTCCTCCGACAAGAAGCGGTGAGGGCACACGGCGCGAGCGGTGTCAGTGGCATCCCTCAACTCATCGGCGGGGCTCTGCACATTCCACAATAGCGTCGAGCAATTGCGTGGGGCCGAAGGGGTGGTGCGAGAAGGAGGGTGGGATATGCTGTTCACGTTGTCACGGCCAATCTGTCAGTGATGTTGCTGCTCAAGCGACGTGTCCTTACTGCGCAATCCGTAGGTGTCTACAGCTAAAACGATTATTTTTTATTATCACCGTACTGTGGGCAAAATCAATGGGCCTTGAACATCGCTGTGCCAATTTTCACGCTTCAATCTCAGAACGCTAAAGGTTTTTTGAAACAAATCCGTCTGTCTGCGCTTTAACCTGATGGATTGCTGTAAGGCGGCCCCTCCGTGGCGGTTACGACGGGAGTGTGGGGACCATTTACAAGCGACTTATTTATTATATTGTATGGCCCTGGCTTCTCTCGACTGTTTGCGCGCTGACAGATTTAGCGGATTTCTTTTTTCTTCCCCGTACTGTAAAGTACTGTAAATACCTGGCCCGACAACTCCGTGCCGACCACCTTAACGCTCGAGGTCAATTTTCCGCTCTTGCGCGAGTAAGTCGCGTTCCGACGTGCGAGCGCGATAACGTGTCGCCTGCGGCTGCTTCCCCCAGACGAGGAGACGAGGTGTGGGACTCGACGCCGCGTGGCTCGGGCCATCTCGACCCGTCGCAGCCGAGCGCCGGAGACTCCAGCCGTTACGGTATGGCCAAGCCGCCGACATCCGCGGATGCCAACGAGCACCCCTTGTCGGCCTTCGCCGTCCCCCCGTTGACCTCTCGCGCGGTGTCCACCTGCGTCCCTTGGTTGCAGCGACGCGAGGCTCGGACGCTCCATCGCTCGAGTCGGATGGAGCCGCGGTCCCGCCCGGCGAGGCCACCACCACCACCACCACCCCGTGCGCGCAGCGAGGCGAGGGGGCGGCACTCATGACGAGGAAGCGGTCGCGGAAGCTTCTCGGCCTGTCAGCACCCCACCCGAGCAGGACGTCAGCCAGGCTGAGGCTGCGGATGACCAAGCCAAGAGCGGGATCCGGAGACGGAGATGGAGCCAGAGCCATGCACTTGTCGTCATCATCGGGGCCGTCTGATGGCTCGCGCAAGTCTCTGCGCGTCATGCTGAGCCACTTGAAGGCTTTTGGCTCCGAGGAGGTGAGGTTCCTCTTCCTTGTGGAGGCTTGCAGCAGTGATGATGGTAGCGAGTTAGAGAAGATACGTGAGTGGGGGGAGGTGAGTGAGGCGATGGAGGTGATGTAATGATGATGATTGCTAATCAACGAATGAGTGATGGGGAGTGAGCAGATAGTCACGAATGGAGGACAAAAAATACTCGAGCCTAGACCCAGTGAGAAGGAGTCAGTGGTGTGGATGACCAGAGGGGGGGCTCACAAGAGACGTAAGTCTAGAGCGTAGACTTCAATAAATGGAAGTAGTTGGCTGTGCGGAGTTAATTCAGAGGAGGGGAAGTGACATCCCTCCGGGCGGAGACTGACCGGTCGGTGTCACCATTGGGTGGCGTGTCGGCGCAAGCAGCGCGCCGCTTGTTACCCGCTGAAGAGCAGCGCGGAAGTGGGGAGGCGCCTGGCCAACCAGCCTCGCCTCGACGGCGGCATGGACACCCTCAGGATCTTCCCGCAAACGCCACGCAGGAAACCGGCGCCCGCTTTCAAACCTCCCGTCGAGGCTGGCCCCGCAGGTACGTGTGACGCAGGTTCGTGATGTGGGTTCATGACGTTCCAAGATTGTCGAGGTCAGCTCTTTTATTTATTCGTCAACGTGATGACTGTCTCGTTCCAATAAAGCGTCATCTAGGGTTGTTGTTGATTTTTTTCGGTTGTCGGTTTAGAAATCGACTCTAAATTCCAAAAAGTCGTGAACTCGATCGGATCAAGTTCAATTTCACTAACGATCGAACCGATTCGCTCAGGCGCTAACATTCAAACCGCAATGCGCGTTCAAATGTAAACGATCATATCGCAATCCCTTGTACGTACATATCAGTAAAACTTACATCTCTTTGTTAGTCCTCTGCTGGATGGAGGCCTCACCACACCACAGCGATCATGGGATTTGTTAGACCATACTTAACCACGCTGCTCAATGCGGATCGGTTTAGGTTGATTAAACCGATAATCGACATTTTGACAGTTTGCCAACATCGACAGCACTTAAAAATCCGTAATTACTGCCCGTCGCGTCACAGCCGTCGCAAATTATTTTTGGAAACGAAGCGTTCTGTCGTCGCCTGTTCCACCACGTGTTTGCGCCGACGCCCTGCCTGGTTTCGCCATGCCGCTGCAGTGCCCCGCGCGCGTCGCTAGGTGGGGATTTGCTGCAGGGGGGGGTGGTGCTGGGCGTGCAGCGCTGCCTCCTCGTGCCGGCTCCGTTGCGAGCTGCGCCAGAGCTTCGGGCCTCCCCCCGAGGAGCGCCGGGGAAAATGCAGCGCACTTATTAATGCCATTCAGTTCAAAATGGTGGCAGCAGTGATGCGTGATTAAGCTTACAATGCACCCACGAAAAATAACAATTGCATTTCTCGCAGGTAGCTCCCGAGATTAGAAATGTTGCCGTGTCAGCGCCGTGCTCGTTAATTTTAAACGTTTCGTCAAATTGGAAGTGATACACGCAAAAATAATGCTAATTGTGTTCCATTTGCATCCTTCAATTCGCGGCGAATTGTTAAAGGAAGGTAAGAGTACAATTACAATTTAATTCCCCGTCGTGCTCTCACATCCTCAACCCGTTTCTCCGTTGCAAGCAGCCCTAGCAGCGGCACAGTATCAGGAGACAAGACAAAAAAAAACGTAATCTTGCAGCACAGCGTGCTTTTTTGTAGGTTGTAGTTTGTGTTGACGCAGTGCGCCGGCCTTATTCGGAGGTTATCAGTGTCGGTCAGGTCGTTTCTAATATTGTGCCGTTTGCCGGAACAGCATGCCTAGCTCTACGTTTTGGCAAAACGTACGAGCGACTGTTTGCTGGAACAACATCTTATGCAGTTTTTGTTGTGGTCATAAGCCAGCCGTCTGCCAGTGAAGCATTTCCCATTATCTCCACAATAATTGGTTTTGGGTGCTGCCTTCCGGCGAGCATCGTTGCTGGCAGCTTCAAGATAAGGCTGCCCCCCTGTCCAACTCGACCGGAAACACTTGTGCAAAACGCACCGCAAAAAATATTACCATGCTGGATTTTTTTCATTCATTTCGCACACAACCGGGCCCCCTCCATTGAATCTGTAAAATATTATTAAAATGTAACTTTGTTTTTTTGACCAAAGTAGTATTCTTTGGTTCTTTCTGTAAAATCACATAGATAGAAAAATAAGAATAAATATTAAAGTGAATAAAAAAAGAATAATTAAAAAAATGTATTAACTTTATTTACTATTATTTTTTTTTCTTCTATGTGACTTTACCGAAAGAACCAAAGAATATGAATTCCTGCAGTCACGAAAGTTTTACGTCAAAATTTAACCAAGTATTGTCATGCGCCACGGCCGTGTGCTCGCCGTCGGTTGAGGGTCCGTTCAAATTTCGTATTTCTTTTTTGAAAGAAGTGAATTTACCCAGCAATAGATTACAGCCAACTGTTTGCTCCAACAAGACATTCATTACCGTCCGCAGGCCAGTGGGAGGCTAAATGCCAAACCATAATAATTTTTACGAAAGGTTCATGTGGTCGCAAAGGTTCCAAAATACAGAGGAAAAAATAGATAACTCCGGCATTCGCCAACGTGAAGCTCGCGTGAACGTCGCTATGGCACGTCGCGATTTTAGCATTCGGGTAGTCGGGAAGTGTGGTGATGGGGGGGGGGGGGCGTTAGACCAAAAGCACCGTGACATTTACGAGCTTTTTTGTGCAGCGTTTGGGGAGCGCATGGGCCACATGACTACGTAGCAGGCTGGGAGCGGTCAAAGAGGTCATTGTCTCCTGCAACGGTCCTGCGATCTGACATATTTTTTTGTAACCCTCGAGGCACGTAACTTTTTACAGAAATCTTGTTCTTCTGATTTTGGAAGTTGTTCATGTCACTGCACCATTGTTTAACCACGGGTGCAGGTAATTATCTCAACTTTCTCACCCACGTCCAATTTCTATTTTTTCTTTCTTTCTCGCCCTGGATATTGAACATTGCCGCGAGGGATACAGTCTTTGTTTATTCAGCTCCGGCCTAATAAATGTCTCGGAACAAGAATTTCAGCTCTTTCTCATAGTTTTAACTTCCTCGAACTTGTGGCACCAGAATTTAAATGCCTTTCCTTGTCAAATTAATCTTAACGTTCTGAGTGGCACATTTTTATATTTGTAATGTATGCTCATTGTTTAAAGATCAGTCTGGTTTAGCGGCTATGTTTTTTTTCAATATTACTGCCGTAATACGAAGCTTTGGCTTTTTTTCCCAACACGTAATGACTGCGTTTTATAATACTGAAACTGCAAACAAACTACACTATAATAATGACAGTATTATCATTTATTTCTATAATGCAAAACACTACGTAGCTAAATCACCGAGAATGCTCCCAATGCTGTCAGATCTCAGCAGCTAAGCAAGGATGAACCGAAACAGTGCTGGGACGGGCAACCACAGAATACAAAGAGGTTGTTATGGGCTGGTGCGGAGCGAACACGGTGGGCGTCGGAGGGCCGTGCAACAAAACCCAATGTTGTATTGTACTTCTGTGATCCCACGTCTAAAAACAACGCCTGCCACCCGCTCAACGTGGGTATGCCCTAACCCAGCAGTGGATTGACGCAAGGGCTACATTTTTGCACAAAACTGCATCTAAGTTTTCGTGACTGCATCTACTGTGGGATTTAGTAGCCTCCCAACCCCAGACGAGCTGTACCGGGAATAGAATGCCTTTTTACAAGGCCTGGCCCGGAATCCACAGCAGTGGCGGTTTGCATTGTTGTTGTCGTCCTTGTTGTTGTTGTTGTTGCTGCGCACCAGGACTGATGGCGCGGAGCGGAGGGGCTCAAGGCTCGGCGACGTCCGCGCGCGCGCCAGGCGGCGGTCACCGTCCGCCCTCCGTCCGCGCCGCAACTGCGGCCAGCGCAACCGCGCCCGGGATAAGCGACCGGCAGAGCCACCGCGGGCCCCTCCCCGTGGCTGCCGCCGCCGCCGTCGCCTCCCCCGCGCTCTCCGCCAACTTGACCCCCGACCCCTGTTCGAGCGCGCGGCCGAGCGGCGGCTCGTTGTGCTGCGGTGGTGACCGCGTCGCCCCGACCGCTGTCGGGATCAGAGGAACGTTTTTTGAATCGGGAAACGAGCTGCACGCGCTGGCCTTCAAACGCAAAGGAGGCGATCCATCGAGGGCAGGCGGTGACTTTCGCAACTCCGAGTCTAAAATGTCAAGCGAAGCTGAAACCGCATTTGAAAAGAATGCCGTCGGCGGGCGCCTTCATCGGCCCGTGCCGGGAGACGACCGCCTCGGCCCCACGGCTTCGAATCCCCGCACAACTTTTTACGACGGCCTTAACAGAGCCTGCGATGCAAATCAATCGGTCGGCCAAGATAATTATCAGCAGCACGATAGCGATTCAAGTTCGTTTTCCCTTGCCGTGCCGATGTCTGAGGTGTCGGAGAAGCGTCTTCCTGCTCCCAGCTGCTCAAATGCCAATGGTTCAGCAATTACACAGTTTTGCGGCTGTGGGTCCTGCGACTTAAAAGGGCAGAAAAATCCAATTTCAACTCCCAGCGAGATTCTCAAACTTGATACGTTTCCAGGCTACAAACACACCCAAGGTTCGCAGTGTGCAGGCGGTCGGCTTATCCCCGCTGCTCTTACAGAAGCGAGTAAGCAGGGACTCGCGAGTGAAGTACGAAAACCAGCAAAAGGAATTTCACGTGAAAGTCTGCTCTCGGAACCCGACTGGTGTTGGGATGCAGATGCCATCAAAGCGTCCTCCAGGGCGTCGAGTTGTCGTCCCGCGGGCAGAACGGTGGACACCCTGTTCCGCTCATCCTCGGCTGAGATGGTCGGATTCGGCCTTCAGAACCCTGCCTTGAGGCTCGTCAAAGCCTCATCCGCGGAAGCCTGCCCTTCCGGCTTTGCCGATGAGACGGGGCGCAGGCGGCCGCCACGGATGACGGTCACCTCGTTTGTGGGCGCCCCCATGAAACTGAGCGTGAAGTGCGAGGAACCTTCGCCACCATCAAACCAACCAAACTCTCGTGGCGTTGACGTTCAGACCGTGACGGGGACTACGGGAAACAGCGATGTGGAGCACGAAGCAGGCGGTGAAAAAGAAGCGGTGTACGTGGCCACGTCCGGACAGGCTCTTCGCAATTCTCCCAGCGACCACGGTAAGGGGCGATGCAACCCGGAAAACCGCGACGGAAGAAGCACAGTGCGGGACGTGCTTCTCCACAGGAGCGTCTCCACCCCCTCCAGGCCGGCGACTGCCCAGCGCGGCCCTCATCTCAGGTCCGGGGCCGGAACGACGCGGGCTCTACCCAAGGGCGGCAGCGGCGGAATCCTCAAGAGCGTATCGTTCAATGCCAAGGGGTCGCGGGCGTGTGGCCAGGCCCGAGCGTCCCCTCCCAGCCGGGCGGTGGAGACGAAGGCTGCCCCTGGGGGGGGGCGGCTGGTGCGGACTGGCAGGCCACTGCAGGTTCCACCCAAATGCCCCGTGGCCCCGATGCCCCTCGTGCCAAGCAAGGCAGCCTGGGATGTGTGAGCGAGACGTCTTTCTGTCTGACTTGAGAGTTAATGTCGCAACGTTCCAGTTTGCTCCCTTTCCCACCGTATACATTCAGATTGTTGTTTTTCCATCTAACAATTTCTCCAGCTTTGTTTTAATGGTGGCTTTTAAAAAGTGTTTAGTTGGGTTGTTTATTTGCCTTGTTCGAATGCATTGCCCGTCATTAGGCCTTTGATTTGTGTATTTGTCAGTCATTTAATAACTTTTATTTCATGGCACAAAGAGCCTTGAAAATGTGATCCGAGCACGGCGCAGCACTACTGGTACCACGTGGTGAAGTCTGGATAGCAAAGCACTACTGAGGTTACACGGTGAAGTCTGCACATCACAGCACTACTGGAGCCAAACGGTGAAGTCTGCATATTGCGGCACTACTTAAGCCACACGGTGAAGTCTGCACAGCACAGCACTACTGGGGCCAAACGGTGAAGTCTTCACATCGTGGCACTACTGGGACCATGGTCAAGCCTGCACGTTGCAGCACTACTGAGGTCATTCAGTGAACCTGCACATCGCAGCATTACTGAGGCCACTCGGTGATTCCTGAACATCGTGGCACTACTAGGACCACACGCGGTGTGTGCTGTCTGGTGTCATGTCCAATTATAAAGTAGGCCACGTTGAGTGGATCGTCACTTTGTGGAGAGACTCGCAGCGCTCACATGTGCCAGGCTACGGTTACACACGGGAATCCGGGCTGCACCGCACGGCGTGTGCGTGCGTGCGTGTGTGGCCCTGTCGTTTCAGTGAGTGAGTGTGAGTGGTCCTGTCATTTGATTGTCTTTGTTGTGGTCCTGTAATTTCAGTAAGTGAGTAAGTGTCTGATTGTCTTTGTTGTGTTCCTCCCATTTCAATGAGTTGTGCGAGTACATGGACACTGCTGGAGTAAATATCCGAGATGTCGTCCTCCCTTCGTTCTGGGTTGCCGCGTATCTCTGCGGCACTAATAGGAAGCAGTGCCAAAGCCAGTTGAATGATTTGGTGCCTAACGCCAGACCAAAGTCATTCGGTATCATTACAGTTCTCGGAAGCCTCCTGTTGCCACGACAGGATAAGATAACGCTTGCACGCGGCTTCCGTCTCAGCGGGCAGCTTTTCAACGTGTGGGGGCTCTTTTATCATCTGGGTAGAGCCGCAGAATTCTCCAAACTCCTGCTTTCATGAGCACAGGCAGCAGCCCCGTCAGACCCTCGGCTCCGCTTACAGAGAAAGTGAATAAATATTGCGCCCTCGTTGATTCATTTTTTGTTGCTTTTAACTCGAGCAGTAAAACATATAAAAATTTAACATTACATTTAATGGGGTTTTTTTTTTTGGACTCCTGCAGATTAAAATATTTCAGAGTCGTTCTCCGGGAATTGAAAATGCGCCACGTGTGGAAGGTTACATAAGTGATTTGATGTGACGATTGATATTTCATCCCGTCCCGTCCTGCCCCATAGAACGAGCGGGCCTCGCGCTTGCTGCCGCTGCTGCTGCCACCCACCCCACGTCCCGGTTAGAGGTGGCGACGATGTTTGGGTTCGTCGGCGATGTAATCCCGACCTGGTTGTACTCTCAAACTGGTGGCGGGGGAATTGCAAGTGGAGAGGCGAGGGGCTGTGTACTTGTGAGAAGAAACTCACGAGTGCACAATCTGCGACTGCGATCACCGAGACCGGCCTAAGTAGGTTTATCGTGATCTAAAATGCCGCTGCCAGATTTCTCACCCGTTGCCCAATACGCCAATCCATTTCCCAATCCAATCCCGTATCGATTTCACGGTCACACTCGCCATTTTCGTCGTCCTCCACGGAGAGACTGACGCCGGTCCACGGGAGGATCTTAGAAGTGCGGTGAGCGCAATCTTGTAATTTATCCAGGACTGGATTGGGATCTGGTGAAGAGATTAGGATATTGGGTTGAATGTGGTAATGTTTATTGTGGCAGAAACATTGTAGATCATCTGAAGTGCTTTGGGGTGTTGACTTTACCGAAAGAACCAAAGAGTAATTCTTGCAGTCACGAAAGCTCCAAATTAAGTTTGTTGTGAGGAAGCCCAAGAGGAGAGAGTTGCAGGAGTGGAGTTGGGATTGAACGAAGGCTCGGATGAGAAGTTCAGCGGCAGACAGGGCGTTGTAGATGGCGCATGTGGGAGATGTTGCGTAAGTGTAGGTTGGAGGTCCTGCAAAGTTGAGAACGAGAGCTCAGGATTGATGACAACTCCAAAGTTACGACGCGTGCACTGCCGGTGTGATGTCGGATCACAGGAGGTGCGCAGTCAAACTGGAATCTTTGTCGAGTGTGGACTTTATGCCAGTGATTCAGCATGGGGGCATTTTTTAGTTTTCAGTATATCAAGCGTAACTAATTTATGGGAGATTTGAATGGAAAATAAATCACCTTAATAAAGTTTAAGTATATATTTGCTCCTCTTCACTAGACAAACACTTTGTGTGCATCTCGCATCTTCATTTTTAACAACTTAAATTGCACTAAACTACAAGAACCAAACAAATTAAACAGAAAATTAATGGCTCGAGACGCGGGTGTTAAGTCAGCGATTTGAACGCGCGCGTGCCGGGCAGCTCTGGTGGTAATTGGCAAGATTAAGCCGCGCCACCGTGATCAATTGGGATGCTAGTTTTGGGAGACACACTCTGCGCGGCAGAGGTTTGACGGGAGAAGCCCGCGCTCTGTCGTTTCGCGTTCGCTGCCTCTTCGAGCGCTCGCTCGCCGCAGTGATGGTGGTCAGGTTCCTGCCTTAGGCCCTCTTAGACCGTTCCTCGAAAGCGGCGGCTTCTCAACCTGTGGCCAGCGGGCGACCACTGGTTGACGGCAAGCCCGTGGGGAAGCGGTCCTCGGGACTGTAGCAGACGCTACCGTGTAGAATAGGAAGTGTAATGTTGAAGAGCAAACGAATGGTGCGTGATAGACATTTCAATGGTTGACAGCGACAGTCTGCTGGCCCAGAGAGTTCGGGAACCAATTCCCTAACATCTTGCCACGGTGGCGAGATGTGAACTACTTCGCCTGATATATCGGTCGTGGGTTCGATCCGGACCCTGACGCCTATATATTTGGAGTTTGCATGTTCTTCCCGTGGTCGTGTGGATTTTTCTCCGGGCCTCCGGTTTTTCCCTCCACAGAAGCACGCGTTTAGAGTATTGGGCTGCTATAAATTTCCACGTGATAAGCCACTTTGTTGAGCTATCATCTGTGGCCAGGTCACTTCTGAGCAAGAGCTATATAGCTCAGTGGGCCTTACCTGGTAAAATAAAAATAGTTCAGTCAAGGAAAAGGTTCCTCCTTCCATATCAAGACGTATGTTGTGTCACCCTGTGATAAGTCTCAAGTGATAGCATTCGGAATGTGAGCCTTTACATCGATTTAGAGAGGGCAATTACATGGGCACGGTTGGTGAAAAATAATCCAACAGACAATGTGTTTGACGTGTGTTTTGTTCTCACTGTTTACAGAGCCAGCCACTGTGCAATGTTGCTGCTACGCCTCATGTTGTTTAAGCACATCGTTAAGCTAGAAAAATTGCACCTTTAGCGAGTATCCTTTGAGGTGTGTAACTCTTGGTTTTCTATATATATACACACACCACACACCCCGTTTTGTAAAGGGGAAACGCACTGTTAAGAAAAATGAGCACGGTGGAAGTGAAGCACGAGTTAATTGCGGTCGAGGGATTTCACCGCGTCTTCGCCAATACGTCACGTCCAAACGGGCAAACAGGTGTATGTCTCGACATACGTAGAACTTATTTCCCACCGTACGTAGCCAAACCGTGCTAACTGGAGATGGGATGCCGTCTTCGCGCGTCTCGTTGCGACTCGGCGTGCGAAAAACACTGTGTACGAAGCAGGAAGACCTCGGGGTGTCAGAAGAATCTCATTAATCCTGTCCGCCTGGACTGGAACTTTCTCCTTTTGAAAGCCATCGCGCTCGCGAGGACGCTTCGGGCTCGTCGCCGGTGAAATCGGGGGGGCGACTGTCACGCCTTTTTATTGGGACCGAGAGAGAGAGAGAAAAATAAATGCCGCTGTATTTTCATTACACGGTCTGGCACGTGTGGTGACAGATGTCAGCGAATGTGAGCCGCGGCAGAAACTGGAGGTGTGAATCACGTAATTAGAAACATTTCCATAATTGCGGTCAATTTCATCCAACTTTTATTTCGAAGCATTCCGCGTGTCACTTTTGCAGCAGCCCGATATTTACGGATGTGTTTGACATTTTAAAACGGAGTCTGTGTGCAACGTGTTACAAAAAATATATCATCCGCGATGCCGTCTGCGCGTCTTTATACGGTAATTAAATCGAGATTTATTTGCTTGAAAAAACGTTTCTTTTAAAAATTATTGATGTATGAATCCATACGCAATCGTTGTACTGCCATCTGATCGTATTTCCATCATAAATCTATGCGCGGCAATAAAGTAGTTACCAAATAAATGTTGCTGTCAGAATTGAGTCTGAATAAATTGAATTTCTTCCTTTCCAGTTAGAGAATTTAATTTGGTTGGAATCTCTTAATTAAAAAAGTGGAAATTCCCTCTTGGCTCTGCGTGGCAGGGCTGCCGATGTGCTGCCTGCGCGCTCTCCGTGTGTTCTTCTCCGCTGAGCGGAGTCTGACGAGTCGGCTCAGCGTTTGCAGTGAACGTCTGAACGTTGAACAGACCCTGGCCTCCGGCACCGTGGAGAGGCCAACAGGGCAGTGTGTCCCCCCGAGCCTCAGATCCGAGGGGGCCTCAATCTGGCTTTTTGCCCTGGGCCATCCCAACAATCTTTTGCCCCCCCCCCCCCCCCCCATCAGCCTCATCCTCCAGCAGCGGACAGTAAAATCATGCACAGAATAGCTAGATGAAGCTCGTTAGAAATGTCCACACGAGGAATTGGTGAAACGTGTTCATCTGTGAAACTTTCAAAATGCCAAGCACAACTGGGCTAAAAAGGTGGCCAGGAGGTAGTGGTAGAGCGCATGTTTCATTAACCAAACTATGTGGACCTTTGAGTGTTATCCTCTCGTGCCTGGCGTTTTTTAATGGACTCTGGTTTCCTCCCACGTACAAAACACCCGCGAAATCGGAATTTGTCGAACGGCACAATGCATGGCCATCTTGAAAGGCTCTTTTTTAAATATTTTAATGACATTTGTATTATGAACGTGAAGTAAGCCACAAGGACTCACAGTTGAAAAATTACCAGGCGAACGCCAGTATTCCAGCGTCATGAACTCAATTGAATTGAAGGCGGTAGCGTGGGAAATTTGCAGATTTTGTTTTGGCCGAGTTTCCACCTATCCACGTCGGTTCCACCGACGGGAGATTTGGGGGTGGGCACCTGACCCCCACCCCTACAGTGATCCCGAGGCTGCGACAGTGCCAATTTCCGCAGCGCCCTCCGTGAAACGGTGGAGACGGTGCGCAGGCTTGGGAGCGCGCCGCGGCAAGCCGTCTGCCCAGGGGGATTTTGTCAGATTTGTTCTGCGTTTGCTCGAGCAGATCAGTTGTTGCAGAGCCAAGCGTGCCCATCTTTAAGTAGTACTTCCCCCACCCCTGCCAACTCGCCCCACACCGCCCCCATCCTGGCAACAACTCAAATGGATTTTTTGCGAGCAGCCTGTGCGGTTGGTTGTTCCCTACCCAGCCGGCCGTGTTTGCAGGGCAGAAGCAGATCCTCGGCTCAGACTTGGTGCGCCCAGGCTGACACGCTCACCGGGCCGCTCAGTGGGCGAGCGGCGCTCCACTTCACAAGCCCTCTCTGACGCTCGCGCCCGCGTCGCCAGGGCGAAGGGTGGCGTTCACAGGCAGAATCGCCGCACCTCGACCGGAGTAAAAGAAGAAAGAGAAAAACCCTTTTTGAAATCCTGGACGAGATCGTCGAATGGCGCTGCCGCTGGGCTTGGCTTGCTGGCTGGCTGACTGGCAGAAGGATTTGGAAGAAAAAAAACACGAATAAATAAAGGATCGGCGGGATATTATGACAAGCGAACGCCGCCGATGCCTCACCCCATTACAGCCGGAGAAGGAGGCAAATGCTAATGCCGAGATGTTTATTCAGTTCCTTTTGAATGTGGTCGCTACGGCAACAACCCCGTTAATTTTAATATCCTCAGCCGGTGCCCTTTCGTGATCAGAAACGGGCTGCCTTTTACTCGCTGTCGATCCGGGGAGACGCTGCTGCGGGAGTCGCGCGGTGCCTTCATGAAAATGCGGAGGGGCCACCCGGGGCGGCACCAGCGGCGAGTCGGGCTCCCCGCTGGGGCTGGAGGAACCCCAGCGCCGACGATGCCACCGGCACCAACCCAGATCCCCCCCTTCAAGAAAAAAGTGAATTTCTGGTCAAGTAAACATTGACGCAAGTGCTCGTTTTGTTTTATCGCCCTTAGCTATTGTACGGAAATTCCACATTCCAATGCCGGGGGCAAGTATTCCCATAGGATAACCACGTACAAAGCGGTGGGTGTTTTAGCGACCCCGAAATGGATGATGTGCCGAGACAATTCACCGCCCAATCAGGATTTGTTTTTTTCGCAACCTTCTTGATTGAGAGTCCACTTTGCTGGTCCACCGAGCCACCAGGAAGAGGGCATTTGCGTGGAATGTCACGTGGCATGTTGGGTGCGTTGCACAGTGCCACCCCTACCTCTAACACGGACACGAAACCATCGTCAGCGATGATAAATCCACTGCTGGATGAAGGCCTCCCCCAAATCCATCCCTCACAGTTCTGCGATGTAAATACAGTACTCCAAAAATATAGGGGTTTTTGGGGGGTTAGATCACGTAAATGTCAATGTGTCATTAAACCCGCCACTAGTACAGCACACCAGCGTGTTGGAGAGCATATCCACTAGTAACGAATTAGCACTCTCTGTTTACGTGACAACCCTTACTAATTGGCTGTGTGGGGTGGTGGCGGGTTTAACGACACATGTATATTTACGAGATTTAATCCCAAAAAACTCCTATATTATGGATATTTGTCACGAAAGCGTACGTGTTAAACTAAGGACAGTACTGTATGCGTCTTGAACTTCTTCCACGCCGTACGTAGCCAACCGAGCTAATCGGAGGTGCAGTGGGAAAAACAACAAACTGTCTCACAAAAAGCAGTTATATTGAAATTAGTTTTAAATTTAGAGAAATTAGTCTTCTGGCGACAGAGCACACGAGATGATTTACCCCAAACCATCGCGGCATAAATCCGTTTCATGCTCAGAGCTGGAATTTTGCCAAATTAAGTGCAAAACTAAATCGAATGTGATGGGGTGTTTGTGTGTGTGTGTGCAGTCACTAAGTAACCATCCCAAGACCATCAAACTCACGCTGAGATTCCGTGTTCATCACAGGCGGATGAAACCTGGGTTCCAACTCAGACTCACAGAGATGCCAGTCCGACCCTGCCCTGCGAGTCATCCGGGCTCATCCATCGCAATGCCCGGGCTTCCCCTAGGTCGACTCAGCCTCAAACGAGTACCTGGTGCGCTGCGTATAAACATCGCCACTGGGGGAGAGACAAAGGCGGCCGGGCGTGGTGCAGGCCACCCCCACTGCCGTCGTGTGCCGTGCCGGCCTTCGCAGACGCTCGCTAACAGCACTTGCCCCGATAGCCCCTTCGAGGCGAGACGGGGCAATCTTTATCTTTGTACCCATTATAGAAGTTCGGGGTAGGGGAAACGTGCACTCCAGAGCGATATTGCAAGATTATTCCGTCTGCGTCTTGGGAGCCCAGTGGCAAATTATCGCGCTCGGTTCTTGTTGAATGTGTGCGAGCGTGCGCCACTGGGGGGGAGACAAAGGCGGCCGGGCGTGGTTGCATTCGTAGGTGCTGCCCGCCACTAACAGCCCTTGCCCCACAGTCTGTTAAGCCTATACGGGGGATCGTGGTACATTTTTTATTTGGTCGTACCTATACACGATTACCGTACGGTGCATGAATATATTTTTTGTTATTTTACGTTGGAGCGGTGGCAAAGTGGTCAAGCGCACAGCGCCACGAACCCGGGTCGCACGAGTTCAATCGCTGGCCGCGGCCAACGTCAGTGGCCATGCCCTGACGTACGTTGAACCTCTTTCGCACCGTATGTCGCCAGCTGTGCTAATGGGCGACCCTGGGCCTCCACCCCCCCCCCTCCATCAGCACCGGGGATACAAAGGCGGCCGGGCGTGGTTCTGACCACCCCCCCCCCCCCCCACCCCCTGCACTCCTTCGTGTGCCACAGTGCCGGCCTTCATAGGCGCTCGCTAACGAGCACCACTTCCCTCAACAGGCCTCGCACAAGCCACCCACGTCGTGGTGGTTGTGGATGTTTGCCTCTCTCTCTCCCATGAATGGTCTTCGTCTCCTAACCAGCACCACCCCGACCCGCGCGTCTGCTAGCGAGTGTCTTCGCCGTCGTATTTTTTGTATTTCCCCACCGCCCCGCCCCCCACGATGATTGCTCGCGCGACCTGCCTCCAATAACACCCTCATCATCATCCTCCTCCTCCTCATCATCATCATCCTCGCTTCTCGCTCGTGTGGTCCCCGCCGCCGCCGCTGCCAAAACATTCCGCGCGCGACATCTCGCAGTAGCCCGAGAGTTGCCATGGAGATATGAGGGCCGGTTGCCTCGGCAACTTGTGTGTGGCGCTGGCAAGTGGTGTGAACGGTGGATGATGATGGTGGTGGTGATGATGATGATGGTGGTGGTGATGATGGTGGTGGTGATGATGGTGGTGGTGATGATGATGATGGTGGTGATGATGGTGGTGGTGGTGATGAGGGTGGTGATGATGATGGTGGTGATGATGATGGCGGTGGTGATGGTGATGATGATGGTGATGATGGTGGTGATGATGGTGGTGATGATGATGGTGATGATGGTGATGATGGTGGTGATGATGATGATAATGATGATGGTGGTGATGATGATAATGATGATGGTGGTGGTGATGATGATGATGATGATGGTGGTGATGATGATGATGGTGGTGATGATGATGGTGGTGATGATGATGGTGGTGATAATGATGATGGTGATGATGGTGGTAATGATGGTGGTGATGATGATGGTGGTGGTGATGATGATGGTGATGATGATGGTGATGATGATGGTGGTGATGATGATGGTGGTGATGATGATGGTGGTGGTGGTGATGATGGTGGTGATGATGATGATGGTGGTGATGATGATGGTGGTGATGATGATGATGATGGTGGTGATGATGGTGGTGGTGATGATGATGGTGATGATGATGGTGGTTGTGATGATGATGATGATGGTGGTGATGATGATGATGGTGGTGGTGATGATGATGGTGGTGATGATGATGATGATGGTGGTGGTGGTGGTGATGATGGTGGTGGTGATGATGGTGATGATGATGGTGATGATGATGGTGGTGATGATGATGGTGATGATGGTGGTGATGATGATGATAATGATGATGGTGGTGATGATGATAATGATGATGGTGGTGGTGATGATGATGATG